CCTCCCCAGCCACTGGGGAACCTACCACGGATGCTGAGGAGCCATGTATTGAGCATCCATCTCCAGATGCCACCACCACTGCCATGCCCTTGGCAGTGGAAGAGCTTCTGGATGCCCCACCACCGTTTGCTGATGTGCCTGTTGCCACTGTGTCACCAGAAGCGGCCGACCCACTCGCCTCCGGTGTCAGGGGTCTCAGTGGTAGCCCTGTACCGCTGGCGGTGGGGGGGCCGGTAGTGGCCTTGGGGGATACAGATGACTTTGCCAACACGGTTGTGCCACCCGTCCTGGAGCACCTATCCACCGAAGCGCCGGCTTTGGAGGATGACCCCGTTGTGAGAGTGCCCGCGGCAGAGGTGACAGCTTGGGACCGTGCCTCCACGCCGCCGGGCCTCCCCAGCCCCCCCAGGGGGTCCCGCCGCCCCAGAGCTGCACGAGCTGCCAGGTGCACCCTCTGCCGTGGCACCCACCGCACAAACCCTCCCTGGGGCCGTGCCGGGGGACACCCTATGTCCCCCCAGCCGTGGGGGTGCCCCTTCCCCAGCACCCAGCGAGGGAGAGGTGCCCGTGGACGTGGAGGGACCCTCCACCGCCACTCTCATCGCAGAAGGGCCTCCTGCTCTACCAGATGGATTCGTTCCAGATAACGAGGTATTTGTTGCTCAGGCGCTCGCAGACGGGGTTTCAGGCCCAGAAATCACTTTATTTTGCACTTGAGGGGGTGGGTGGGAGATGGGAGCCTGCTCGGAAACTCGCAGCCACGATCTGCGGGGGGGTTCAGGCTTCGAAACAGCCTTCTCCCTCCTGAATTCGGCTTGAATTTGGCAGGCAAAAAGTTTTGAGGGGGAATTGTGTGGTTTTATAAGTAGGGGAGGCAAAAGACTATCACTGCTTGATGACCTAAACTATTGTCTTAAACTTTTTTGGCTTATTAAAGTACATTATGGTCACTCAGACGTAAATCAGAGGCTTCAGAGAAACCTTCTCGCTGGAGCCTGGCAGCATGGTTCCCATCTTTGAAGCAGAAAATATATTGGAAGAGAGAGTCCTGTAAAACAAATTAAGTGCAAATAATTCCTGTCCTGTGCAGTCACCACTTTCTGTAGCTTTTTAAGTGAGCAATAAGGTGCTGAGGCTCTGAACACGCGTGGGAAGGGGCTGAAATTCTCTCTGGCATTTGGGGCTTTGCTTTACCGTGCCGTGCTAGCAGCTTTTGCCTGGAGAGGCCTCGGTGGTGGAGTTCCCACAGCCGAGAGCTGATTTACTGCCATCTGGATTAGGAGAAATATCACTAAGGAGACATCAGAAGTTAGTCAGCGCCGAAAATCCTGATTCGGTAGCAATTACTCATTCTTTGGGCTGTGCCAGCCGTTTGAGAAATGCACGTGGAGGGGCTCGGAGAGATGCTTTCACATGGTGGGGTCCATGTGAGCACGGGCTGGGGCACCCGGCGTGGACCTCAGCGAGGAAAAAGAGCCGTCGGGTCCTTGCCGTTGTACGTCTGTTGTCTGAAATTCACTCCTTTGGTGTCAGCGTGTCCTCGCTGGTGGGACCCTTATTTCACGTGCAGCGCTTCTGATTGTCAACCCCGTAAATCTTCCCTTTGCTCAAACGTTGTTCAAGCCGTTGGCAGCTCCGGGTCCGCACCGGGGCGATGCCTGGGCACTGCCGGTTCTTCCCACCGCGGGGGCCGGGCTCTGCGTTCGGCAGCGGTGGGGTTAAGGAGCGCGGCCGCCCGGGAGATGAGGGAAGCAGAAAGCGAGGGGATGCTTTGGGAAGCATTTCTGGGAGCGAGGAGGAGCTGCGGCAGAGCAGATGTCCTTCTGCTCGCCAAGATGTCTGTCCAGCCGCTTTGCCTGGGCAGGACACCTCGCTCTGCGCCTTTCCCTGCCCAGCAAAGGGTGTACGTTAAATATTTGTTTCAAAGCTGAGTCACGGTGAGGTTAATGAACTAAATCGCTGGAATCTTTCATGAGCAAAGAAAAACAAGTGTGTTTGACATGCTCACTCCTCAGGCCATTAACGTGATTATCTTTGTAACGATCCTTGTGCAGCGTCATGCTCTCGGGCTGTACCGATTCGTGTGTTGCAGGTACCCGTGGTCTGATGGCCGGAGCTTTCAGCTCCCTCCCTGCCCTGCTGCTTCGAAGCCCTGGAGTTTGTTTTTGCAGCGTGCCGAGGGCTCGGACCCAGCCCCGCATGCCAGACTTATCAGCCTGATCCTTTTGTGGGTTTGGCTGCTCCAACAGCCAGCTCCATATATAAACAGTAACAGGAGAAGCGGCCGGGGAATCGGTGATTTCATGTCACCATTTATTTCTTATAACCGTGGCATAATTCTCACTGAGCAAACAGCTCTGGACAATGTCTGCCAACACACCCTGCACTTCGTGTCCTGGAGTGATACCTCCCTGCCCTCGAGTAGCTGAGCTCCGACGGGAAGGAATAGCTTTTTCTTCGAAAATGAGGCAAAGGAAGTCAAGGCAGCCCCTCTTGCTCAGGCTGGGAACTTTTTGTGTGTGTGTTTGGGGTTTTTTGCCTGCCTTGTGTTCCTTCGGAGGCAAAGCGATTGCCGGGTCCGGAGAGCCACGCCATCCACGAGCCGCTGCTCTGCTAGGAGAGATCTTGCGTCTGAGTGGGAATTTTTTGATGCCGTCAATGTCCATATATTCTCGGGCACGTGAGGAGGAGGCACGCTTGAGAAAGCAGGCGGCTGGCTGCGATCCCCTCCGCTTTCCAAAGAGAAAATGTTGCGACAGGGCCAAGGGCTCTGATCCCGTCCAGCGCTGGGTGCGGGGTGACCTGTGCTCTGGATGGGCTCGTGGTCCAAGGGACCAGAGTCAGCGATGAAGGACTCCGCTCCCTTTTTCTGGGGCTTGTGCTATTCGCTGTGGGGAAGCAGCGGGCCTGTCCCTTGGGACTGGGCTGTGCGGCCGCCCCAGCAGTGCCGGAGAGGGGGGGGAGCCACGGGCGGCTGCATCGGCGGATGGATACAGCAGATCCACAGCTCTGATAAAGAGCACTTATCTCCTACACGGAAACAGGATTTTCCCTGCTGCCTCTCTTTACAATGGGGAGCTTCATTTGCTCTCCTCCCCCTTCCCTATCAAATCTTTTTTGGTTTAAAAAGCTTTTCCCCACAGGATTCCCAGGCAGGACCATGCCAAATATGCGGTGCGGTCAATGACTAGCACATTAATTGCCTATTGCCTTTGACTTTGGAAATACGGCTAGCTTCTCCGTGTCTGTGATTTTGTGGTTAACAAAACTCATGCGATGTCAGGTCTCCGCTCTCAATAGCGTCACTGTGAGAGTTGCTTTGGGTTTTTCCCCAGGAGCATTATTTCCCAATCTGATGGCTGGCCAGAGCCGATGCTCTTATTTCTTCCCCGATTTGCTCTCTCCACCTCACTCCGGTGCTTGGAAAAAGGGGATTTACCCATTTAAAAGCAGAGGTGGACGCGTGTAGATCCTGAGCTGTGCTCCACACCAGCGAATGCCTGCGACATCTGTGTTACTGGGTCAAGGCAAGGGTGGAGTTTAGACTAACTTGCACAACTCTAATAAAATCAGTGCGAGTAGCTACTGCATCTTCTCTAGAGAAGAAATTGTTGTATCTATTGAATGATGGAGGGGCTGTAAGAGCAGCTCAACGGGTTATAAATACCTTTTCCCTTCCACCCTTCCCATCCCCAGCTGTTCCAGAAGGAGCAAGTGGATCCTCTCCAGCTAAAACTACAGCAAGTCAATGGAGTTGGTCAAGGACTCATCCAAAGCGCCGGGAAAAACTGTGACGTCCAAGGGCTGGAGCATGACATGGAAGAAATCAACACCCGCTGGAACACCCTCAACAAGAAGGTAAGAGCGTGGGGAGGGGCTGTAACTGGTTTCGCTCGGCCCCCGTTGGGGTCTGGTAGAAGAAGGGAGTCATCGACAGGGAGGTGAGGCTCCGGTGTCGATGCATCGCCAGCCTGACCATGCACTGGGGTTGTGTTTGGGGTGCAGGTGGCCCAAAGAGTTGCTCAGCTGCAAGAGGCCCTGTTGCACTGCGGGAAGTTTCAGGACGCCCTGGAGCCGTTGCTGAGCTGGCTGGCAGACACCGAGGAGCTCATCTCCAACCAGAAACCTCCCTCTGCGGAATACAAGGTGGTGAAAGCCCAGATCCAGGAGCAGAAGGTGAGCAAGCACAGGGCAACGCTTGGCTCGACGGGAGGGGGAGCTCTGGTCAGACAGACAGTATTTTGGGGGTCCAGCTGTAACAGATAAGGTGTAGCTGGGATGTCCACAAGCCTGCTTCTTTCACGGTGGATCTTCTGGTTCCCCACATCCTAATGTAATAAATAGGCAGCTCGTTTGCCCACACTCGCTATCTCCATCGTCTAAATCACCGGCGTTACTTTATTGTCCCACTGCCTCTTGAAGTTTGCTGCTGGTTTTGCTGGTCGGCCGTGTTTTTCCAGCCCTAAGTTTTGTTTGCGCTGGTAGTTCTGCTGCGTCAGGAGCAAGCTGGCGTTGTAGGTACCGGTTTGGGTATTTGGACAAAATGAATGTACAAACTGTAAGAACCGACCCGAGGCATGCCAGTGTTTGCAGAGATAACAGCCTGGGTCGGCGCCTGCCCTTGTGGGCAGGCAGATGAAAGTTCAAGTGTGGTCGTGGTAAAACGGTTTAGCAATGAATTCTTACTGAGGCTTGGTCCGAAGTATTGAGACTTTGAAGAGGAAATTTATTTAAAGTGAAAGTTAAAAACTTGATCTTGATAAGTTGGGGGGGGGTGATGGGGAAGGCTCTGAAAGCTTCTCTGGCACAGAAGTGCTTTGAATCTCTTTCAGAATAGAATATTTCAGTTGGAAGGGACCTAAAATGATCATCTAGCCCAACTGCCTGACCACTTCAGGGCTGACCAAAAGTTAAAGCATATTATATTACTATTATTTTTTTTTAACTGGTTTTGATGGTAAAGGCTGATGTCCCACTGGGCTGGCTTCGGTCTCAGCCCCGGGCTTACAGTGATTTTCAGCCACAATTAGAGATTTGCTATCTCTGAGGGCTAGAAGAGGTTCTGCTGATCCAATCTGGTAACTTTTATCCTCCTTTGGTTTGCTGCCGATGCTAAAGCTGCTCCAGCGACTCCTGGACGATCGCAAAGCCACCGTTGAGATGATCCAAGCGGAGGGAGGGAGGATCGCGCAGTCGGCCGAGCCCGCGGATCGGGAGAAGATCATCGGCCAGCTGGAGAGCCTGGAGCGCCGCTGGGCAGGGCTGCTGGGCAGGGCGGCCGGCAGGTGAGAGGGTCTGTGCTGCCGGCCAAAAACACAGGGCCAGCTCGTCCTGCGATTCGTGGTGCCTCGGAGCTTGGGGTTACAACACGCGGGAAGCTGGCGGAGATTTCTGTGCAGATACATCCTGGAAACATGGAAACAGCTGGAAAACATGAGAAATCAAAGCCTGTTTGGGAGCTGAAGTTGATAGCGGTGGTTTACAATGGCAGGGAAGAGCTCAGATTAAATAAATTCCCAGCAGGGGATGGATGTTATTTTTATTCCTTTAAGCGTTAACATTTAGCTTTAGCAGCAGCATCCTGTTGACACCTTTCTGCTGCCTGAATCTCATTTATGAGTCGCTTGTTGCTACAGAAGCTAATATTTGAGGTTATAAAGTCACTTCTGAGGGCCAGATTTGACCTCCCAGTATTTTAAATCACTGCCAACTAGATGGACTGTCCATCTAGGACTTGCACCGGTGCCGGGCTGTCTTTGAACAGAAGCTCAGCAGCTCTGAAACACCGAGAGCCCGGCCGCAAGCTGAGCACGTCGGAAGATCTCCAGGATAGTGATAGGAATGGAAGAAAAGCAGCACAACGGGGGAGCCTTTCTGCCACCTTCCCGGGGGGACAAACTGGACCCTAAAGGCACAGCTGCAGGAAAAAGCTTATTTTGCAGTTTCTCCACGTTGATTTTTGTGTTTGCCTTTGCAGCTTGCCTGACACAGTGTCTCTCACCTTGCTCTGAACAGGGCTGCTTTGGTTCCCTCTTCCTAATACTCGAAGCTGCTTCCCATGCCTGACTCCAACGGGGAGCTGTTCCTTAGCGTTTTATTCCTTACTATAGGCAGAAGCAGCTGGAGGACATCTTGGTCCTGGCAAAGCAGTTCCACGAAACCACGGAGCCCGTGTCGGACTGGCTGTCGGTGACGGAGAAGAAGCTGGCCAACTCGGAGCCCATCGGTACCCAGACTGCCAAAATCCAGCAGCAGATCAGTCGGCACAAGGTAGGACCCGTGCGTGAACAGGAGCTGCTGATGGAGGCGGTTGGTATCGGGTCCCGCTCAGGTGGTTGTTTCTGCCATGGCGAGGGGGATTTTGGCACGAACAAGTATTGGAGGAGTTATCCAGGCTGCTTTATGTACGGAGAAGGCTGCAAACCCTAACCCACCAGGGTGGGTAAATACTAAACTGATGTCTTTGCACCTCGCAGCGAATGTATCTGGCTCTGGATAGAAAAACCATTCCTGTTCTTGTGTTTCTTTTAAACCTTTTTTATTTTGATGCGGTTTGCCCATTCACGGGTGGGTTTTGTGTCTCCTTCATTCCTTCAGTTGCATTCCTTGTTTGTTTCCCCTTTTATGTTTTGTTTTGTTTTTTTAAATCCGTTTTTTCACTCATTTTCCTTTCTGTTGTCCATTTTATCCTCCCGGCATTCAGGCTCTAGAGGAAGAGATAGAGAGCCACGCGGCCGACGTGTCTCGGGCGGTCGGTGTTGGGCAGTCCCTCTCCTCCCTGAGCTGTGCCGCTGAGCGGAGGCTGCTGGCAGAGAAGCTAGACTCTCTGCAGACCCGCTATGGCGAGGTCCACGACCGGTGCTGCCGGAAGGCAGCGCTGCTGGATCAGGCGCTGTCTAACGCCAGGCTCTTTGGGGAGGAGGAGGTGGAAGTGCTCAACTGGCTGGCTGAGGTCGAGGACAAGCTCGGCTCGGTATCCGTAAAGGATTACAAACGGGACGTCCTGCAGAAGCAGCATGCCGACCAGCTGGTATTTTCCATTTTCTTCCATGTTTATGTTGTTTATTTTGTTGCATTTATCTGGTTTTATTTTTTGTTTCTGGTCTGACTTTAATTTTGCAAAGCTTGTTCCACTGCTGGTTCTCTTTGAGGCTTGGAGAAGCGTAAAGAGATTTCGTGTGTTAAAAACAATAATTGTGGCCCCAAAAATGGGTTTCCCGGGGGGGAAAACTTCAAACGATTCATTTGCTTTGTGAACAATGTCTGAGCAAGCTTGGCCACCCCGTGCCTTTAGAAAGCTGGACGTTGTTTCCAAGAATGAGAGCTTGAAAAGCCCGGTGGGTTTTCCGAGCCAGGCTGGCCACCGAGGAAGCCGTCTGCTTCCGCTCCCCGGGGGTCGTGCAAGCTCTTTTCAAGAGTGAGGTTATGTCTAATACAAGGGCAAGTTCTTTGGTAACACATATCCAACGGGTTGGGATGGGTTTGCTCTAAGATTTGAGCCTTTGGGTCCCAGAAGTCCCGAGAAGTCCCGTAGCAGGAGAAGGTCGACTGGACAAGTATCAGATCTGTTGTCCACCCTTCCCGCGCTCGGCAGGAGCAATCCGTGCTCTGCTTAGCATCTCCGGCCAGCGCTGGCCGGCAGGACTCGGGGACCTGCCTGCAGAAGGGTAACCCCAATTTGCCTTTCTCTCCAGGCTTTGAACGAGGAAATTGTGAACAGGAAGAAGAACGTGGACCAAGCCATTAGAAACGGGCAGGCCCTTCTGAAGCAAACCACAGGTAACACGAAGAGCTGGGTGCGCTCTGGCCCGTGCGGGGGGTCTGGGAAGCCCACCGTCCCCCGCAGCGGTCTTCCCTGGGAAGCCCATGCTCTGCAGCGATACGTTGTTCGGGGGGGAGGCTGTTCTCCCTCGGGTCTAATTTCCTTTCGGATACTCCCAAAGTAGCTGTTTTGCATCCAGACCTGGATGCCAAGCCACAAGCGCTCCCGCTTAGTAAATCCCGAGTACCAACCTCACAGCTTCGTGAGCGGGTGATTCCCACCGCTGGGGTGGCGACGCTCAGCGCTGAGCAGCCCTGCGACACGAGGGAGGGTTTTCTCATTACATCCAGCTGCTAAATCACTAAAAATACACCCAGCCCTTTCCTAATATTGCTTTCCCATACCGAGCAGTTGCTGCTGTTGCCACGTGGGTGTAAGTTTATGTTTATGAGTGGGAAGAAAGGTCGGGGCGATGCATTTCCTTCAGATGTGGTCTGCTCGGAGCAGATGTACAGACCTCTGTCCTTGTGGGAGCCGTGTAGCAGGAAGAGTGATTACAAAGAATTTGGCTTGCAGTTTCTTGTCCTCTTGGAAATAGCAGTAAAGGGTGAACCGGACCCTTTTTATGGGAGCTGTGGCACGTTAGTTGAGAACTGAGTTGTGGTGGCTTTGGGGCTTGGGGCAAAGCCAGGCTTTGCAGCACGCTTCCATCCCATTCCAGGGAGGAGGTGGATGTTACGCTGACTGGTAAAAAATGTCAGCTCTAAGAGTAGCTTCCTGGCTGTAAAAATAGGCTGTGAATTTGCACTTATATAAAGAAAAGTGAGACTGAAATTAGCGTTTTAAAATGGGGGGAACAGGGCAGGTGGCTCCTGCCGCCTCCCCAGCCCAGCATCATTTGCCCCTTGCTGCTGTCTCGCAGGGGAGGAGGTGTTGCTGATCCAGGAGAAGCTGGACGGAATTAAGACCCGCTATTCGGCCATCACCGACCGTAGCTCCAAGGCGCTGCGCACGCTGGGGCAGGCTCGGCAGCTGGCCACCAAGTTCCAGTCCACGCACGAGGAGCTCGCCGGCTGGATGAGCAAAGTGGAGGACGAGCTGGTTTCCAGCGGGGGACCGCCCCCCGCCGGCGAGCAGATACCCCAGTTCCAGCAGAGGCACAAGGTGGGGGCTGGCAGAGCAGCGCCCGGGGGACGGGGGACGTGAGGGTGGGAGCTGGCGGGGGTTTGCTCGCTGTTTTGAGAGGCCGGGGAGGAGCTGGAGAGGGGTGTCACCTGCAGAGCACTGAGAAGGACACGTGTCCATGGGTGCCTTCCACAGGAGCTGAAGAAGGAGGTGATGGAGCACAGGCTCGTCCTGGACACGGTGAACGAGGTGAGCCGAGCTCTCTTGGAGCTGGTTCCCTGGCGAGCCCGCGAAGGGCTGGATAAACTCGTGTCGGACACCAACGAGCGCTACAAGCTGGTCAGCGACACCATCAAGCAGAGGGTGGAAGAAATCGATGCTGCTATTCAGAGGTCTCAACAGGTAATTTAATAACCCTGCCGGAGGCTGACGGGGTTTCTCGGCAGGGGGGGAGGAGCGCGCGGCTCGGCACCGCTCCAGCCCGTGCAGTGCAATGGCGGCGGGAGGGGTAGCGAGCACAGCTCAACGGGACAGCCAGATCCCATCGGGAACACCAAGACGTGACCTGGCCCCACCAGCGGCGTGTGGCAGCGGGGCTGGTTTCTGACCCATCCCGTTGCGTGTGGTTTGGATAGGATAACTCCAGGGCAGGGTTGTGTTATCCTGCCTGCTGGCTTTTGCTTGCGTGGGTGAAGTAGATGGTGTAAAACCGATGACAGGTGACTTTCAAGCCTGGAAAAACGTCATCCCCTGTTGTGATAGCACGGAGATTTGTTCCAGGCGAACAGTCCTCTCAAAAAAGACTTGTTCTGCACGGACTGGAGGCTGTGGAGCGCTGTGAATAACAGTCCTCGCTGACTTTGAGCTCTGACTCCACGAAGCTGAACGTGCAAGCAAAATGATCGTGTGAAATAGAGGCGTCCCTTTCCCTGTGAGCAGGGAGGGTGTAGAGGAAGGTGGTTGCTCCACCGTGCTCTGCTCAGCTGAGCGCCTGTGGTGCAGTGATGCTCCGTGCCCCAAAACCAGCTGCGGGAGCCGCTGGCCGCGGG